AGCAGGCAGTTCCACTGCCCCATCAACCATGGGGTGCTGCTGGGTGAGGCTTTCTCAGTGCAGGTGTGTTTTAGTTGTGCGTTCAGCACAAGCGAGCATTCCTCAGTCCAGGGATATTGCCCTTTCTCCTAAAACGAGGCTCACCCTGATTCTCAATGGAAAATTGGTGGTACTTGCCTAAGCCCTTTAATTTACAAAACTGAGCGTTCAAGATCTCACCTCCTTTCTATTTCCCATATCCATTTTCCTGGGCTTTTCCTATTCTGTCTCTTACATGTGCAATTCCGCAGGCAAGTGTGGAGGGGTGTATGCTTGCAAATCCCGGACTCCCTCCTTTCTGGAATTTCCTTTCTCAAATTCTAGTTGATCTCACCCCAATCTCGTAATTGTCTTCTCCTTTTTCTTGTGCTGCAGTGGCAGAGAAGGAGGCTCAGGGAAAACGGTGGGTAAACATGCTCGTCACCTCACAGGGTCTCCTGCTCTCACTGAGCTTGTTCCTCCACTGCCTGGCGGCCCGCGGTGGCACTAGGAAGAGTTGCTCATATTGTTAAGCAGCCAGGTTACTACTTCTACTACTGGGAGATGACACTCCATGGATAGTTTGTATTGCATGTGTTTTTACTTTACATTTCAATGTAAATATTCTCCAACTTACTAGAAATTACATGATCAAAATCTGTAATGATTTTATTTGGCCCATTGTGTGTGTGTGTGTGCTCTACTTCACTTGGATATGTTTTTACAAAAGTAGTGCTACACTCTTAGAAATAAGGAGCACACATTTTGGTGTCCAGACACACAATTGGTATACATAGTTGGTGCATCACACATTTACTTATGGGGGAAGACAGTGATTGTAAAATCATTTGTTTCTTTGATAAATTGCCTTCATCGTCTCAAACGCACCTATTTCCTGCTTTAACGAGAGATTGTTATGGCTGCTGTTTTTGTTTTCCTTCAGCAAACAAAAGACAACATTCGTTCCTTAACTATGTCTGGCCATGTTGGCTTTGAAAGTCTGCCTGATCAGCTGGTCAACAGATCCATTCAGCAAGGCTTCTGTTTTAATATCCTCTGTGTGGGTAAGTGCCAGACTCTCCCATATGTCTTCTTGCCACTCCACTCTTGTCATAAGCAGGCCGGTGCTGCTTCTCAGTTGTGAGATCATGACCCCAAGGTATTTCTGCCCTTTAAACATTTCTGTTTGCTTGTTTGGAAACATTTCAGTGCTGGCTTGCGAGCTCTGAGTGCCATAGCACACACACAGATTCACTCTGCCCTCGCTTGTGACTAGCCTAGTCACTAGTGACTAGTCTTTACTTGGTAGACAGCCGGTCTTTGAAATACTGCGACCCTTGACATGCCTGCAGGCGTGCTGCGCTTTATTGTGTTTCACCGAGAATGAGTTTTTTACAAATTGAAGATTTCTAACACTCCTGTGCTGAGCAAATCTTACTGCCCCACTTTTACAGCAGCGTGTTCACCTCATGTATCTATGTCATATTTTGTCATTCTCAAAATATTTAAAGCTTTTAAATAATGCTGTTGCACACTTAATAGATTACAATGTTACAATGTAGTATTAAACCTAACTTATATGTACCAGGAAACCCAAATACTTATGTGACCTGCTTTATTGTAATAGTGGCTTTATTTCAGTGGTCCGAACCTACATATCTCTGGGGTGTTTAAGAGTGACATTTATTCTCAGCCAGAAATTGTACCTGTAAAGATATATCTGTGTTTTATTCAGGGGAAACTGGAATTGGAAAATCTACACTGATTGACACATTATTTAATACCAATTTTGAAGACCAGGAATCCTCACATTTTTATCCGAATGTTAGACTCAAGGCTCAAACATATGAACTCCAGGAAAGTAATGTTCAATTGAAGTTGACCATCGTGAATACAGTGGGATTTGGTGACCAAATAAATAAAGAGGAGAGGTTTGTGCTTTGTTTTGTTTGCCCTTTTTTTTTTTTTTTTAAAAATAAACTGAGTTTTTATTATACCAGGAAACCGGCTTTCTTGCTCCCTGGGATGTGTTTGGCTTTTCTACTATGGTAATCCATACCTTTCCTCCTAGGATTTCTCTTTGTAAAAATAGCAAATGTTCAGGTTCTGATTAGAAAACAGTTTTTTCTTCCCAGCTGGACTAATTTTCATGCAAGACCTTAACACATTGAGTTAAAATCAGACAAAGAAGGGTAAACATCGTGAACAAATATATATGGTACACGATTTTTAAAATTCTAACCAAAATAGTTCCATTAAGCATTGGGGGAGAAGGTTGATAATGAGATTTTTATTTATATTTAACCTATGTCATTGTTTCATCTTTGGTATTGATGTGAGACTGATGATACATTCTGTATCAAATATAAGCTCTGAGAAGGGGAAATCGATTGGGGCAAAGCAATACCTTTGTTTTTCTTGATTGAATGTATGCATGATTTATTATAAATAATTATTCCTTATTCTTGAGTAGTTAGGAACAAAATTATTTTGCACAAATAACTATGTTTCTTACATTAGAGGGCAGCTACTTCAACCCATTTGTGTTCTAATTCGAATATGAAAAGTGAGTTTTGTCGACCTTGTGAAAGAAGTAAGGAGCACAGTCTCGGGGTGCTAGTGTGTGTCACTGCATTCCTGTCAGTCTGTCATTTGATGAAAGGGAAATCTCGGGCAGTGGTTTGCAGTCCAAGCTCAGAGTACCACTACTGGCTCAATAAGTCTGGCCTTTTTTAGGAATTTACATTTTGCTCTACTGGCTCTACTGGTTCAATAAGTCTGGCCTTTTTTTTTTTAGCAATTTACATTTTGCTCTACAATTCTCTATGTTCCAAAGCCTATACTGTGCCAACCCCCCTTACGCACTGTAACCACCAGTGAACGTTGTATCACTTCGTTTACCTGCAGGGCCCTGGTGGTGTAGTGGTTACCATTGGATCAGCAGTTTGAAAACAGCGGGCCCTCATCAGGAGAGGATAAGACTTTGTACTCCCAGAACTAGTTAGTCACAGAAACCCACAGGGCAATCTCCCGTGTCCTGGAGGGTTGCTGGGAGTCGGAATCGACTCGATGGCAGTGAGTGAATTTGAGTTGATATTTATCTGTGTCTTAATGAGAGATCATACAGTATTTGTCTGAATACCTTCATTCACTTGGCAATATGCCCTGTGGACCATCCTCGTTACAATGTTCCACAGACCCATTATTTTGTAAGATTTTGTCTCTGCTCTCAAATTGCTTACCGGTTGTTACTCAAGGACTGGAAGGGTCATCCAACTTTAACTAAGAATTCAAATTCCACACCATTGGAATGGTGTCCTCTGTTTGGGGGCTCAATAGTAATTACAGCAGTGTTCGTGGAATTTGACATCAGAGCTGTTTGCTGTTCTTGTTACTTGGGATCCTAGAGTTGGGTAGTGAGAGCGGTTGTGCCGAGAAAGGTTGCATAGGTAGTGATTTAGCATATCAGAATGAAGTGCAAGGTTTAGAAACCATATTAGCACAGTTCTCTGCTTGTACCCGTGATTTGACTTGGATCTTAAAGGATTAGAAAGCCAGAGGAAGATGTGTCCCCAGAGGAGAAATGACACAGACATAGGGTTTATGGCACCTTTCCTTTGCATATTATGACTAAGCACAGCTAAAACCATGGCAGTATGGCTTTTGGAGACTGACGGTTGACATGCGCCATTCTCCTTAACTGTGCTAGGTATTACATGCCTTAGGAATCTGACCTCAGGGGAAAACGTCATGGAATATGACATGAGTACCTTTTTTTCTATTATAAATTGTTTTATTGGGGATGCTCGTGTCTCTTATAACAATCCATATATCAATTGTCTCAAGCACATGTGTGACATAAGTACCTTTCTAAATTGAGCTTCATAATATGCTGTATACTTATTTGGTTACCAATTTGACCTCTAGCCTCATTCAGTAGTCTGGCTCATAGAGCGCTTTGTCCGAAGAGACCCGGGTGTAGATGGATGTGGGCGTGAGTCAGGATACCATGTCTGTGACCCAGCTGACAATGCCAGCAGTTCTGATCATTTTGCAGTCGAATGCTCCACCATTGAGCTACACCCCCTCAAGTTCTGATGAGTGTGAAGTAATATCTGTAGACATGCAGGCTCTGGATGTTATCTCGTTAAGGTTGAGTGTTGAGCATAGCTGTTAACTGTTTATTAGTGAAAATTCAGACTTTGAACTGGATAAAGTTGCATGAATATGTTACATTTAATTTTGGAATTTTTCAGCTATCAACCAATAGTCAACTACATAGATGCTCAGTTTGAGGCCTATCTCCAAGAGGAGCTGAAGATTAAGCGTAGTCTCTTTAACTACCATGACTCTCGCATCCACGTGTGCCTTTACTTCATCTCACCAACTGGCCACTCGCTGAAGACACTCGACCTCTTAACCATGAAGATCCTTGACAGTAAGGTGGGTTTGGGAAAGAAATGAGCTCATCATGAGTTAATATTTATTTTGAACTTTTAATATTTCTTTAAAGGTATGTGCATGTATATATTGCAGTGTGTATATTTTTTCTCTGCATTTAAACACATTTGGAATTTGTGCATTTTCTCTGTGCATTTGAACACATTTGGAATTAGCTTATTTTCCAGAGAAGTTGTTTGGAAGATGAGATGCAATTTTACTTGTACAGGTTTTACTACTAATAGGCATGTCCTGATTCTGAATATTTGCATCTTGATGTTTTAGTTATTGAACTATGTAGCCAGTCATGGCTCATCTTTGAGATGAGTTAGCCAGGAGTGATTGCTGTTGATAAAAGTAGGTTTTTGAAAATGAGTCAAAGGGATAATGAGCGCTTGTTCAGTGCTCAGCTTTGGACCAGCCGAGAAACCCATGTGCCACCGACTCCATGCTGAGTTTCTTCCCAGCCTTCCTGGACTGCAAAGCATTTTCTTGTATCAGTAACAGATCATGAGTGTCTTACATGCGTTTAGCTAAAGATTGTCACCACTCTCTTCTGCTGCAGTCAGTCAACTCTTATTTAGAAAGTCATGTCTTTTACTTTCTACAGTAAACACTAGAAAGGAATGTTACATAGACGTGCCATGACCCATTTAATGAGATTTAGGTTTCTAGGTAACAGGAAGATGTTCGTCAATGACATGATTAGATATATATTATGTAGGGGTAAAAGATTCATGTTGTTGAGACTGCTGGCTGTTATCTCCCAGCCACCTGGCAGATAGACAGATCTTGATTGACAGTACTAATGGAAAGGTTGGCAGTCTGAACTCGCCCAGAAGCACCCAGGAAGAAAGGACTGGCGATCTGTGTTTGAAAGGTCACAGGCTTAAAAACCCTATGCCGGCCTGTTGTGTACACATGGGGTCAGCATGAGTCAGCATCTACTGACAGGCAGTGAGGTGTTTTCATACATAAAGATGGGTGATCCCTGTGCCGGCTTCTCCTTCCAGCTTCCCTGGCCTCCTTGGGAATTGTTGTCTTTGATTCCTAAAAGCGGTTGTCATAGGAAGTACCGTATCTTATGGGAAGCTGACAAGTTGTCTTCATTGAGACATGTTACCGTTCTCCTCGCTGACTCGTAGGTGAACGTGTCTGTGTGACATTCAGTCTGCTGACATTTTTTGTAGAGGCAGTCCTAAGATGTTAACGTGGCTTACTTTATTGAATAGTTAAGTTTGGTACTGAAAGCATGGACTTGACATCCCTTGTTTATGTACTTGGAGTAATTGAATGTGAACATGGTTTACTTAAAATTATTGGGACAATTTCCACTAGTGATTTCACAATTATTTAGAAAACTCTGTATCATCTTTGGAGCATAGAAGACTAATAAATATGAATGTGTACAGTCAACCAGTAGGACATTAGAGAAGAGGAAAAATAAGCTCTCCTTCCCCTGATTCGTGTCACTAGTTAGCCTGACATATGTGACTGAAAGCAAACAAGGAACAGGAAAAGTACAGAGTAGCCCCCGCCCCATCCCAGTGTAGTGCAGGCACGAGTCTCTTGTGGAGATAGCTCTGTAGTCCTTCACACGACTAGACCTACGCTGGACGATCTGTGTGACTTCAGATCGCTTCCTCGCTGGCCACTGATAAGACTTTAAGTCATGCTGAGCATTATTCCTTTGCTTCACGAACACTTTCAGTTGGTGTTTGTAAAATGTCTTTCCTGTGACCCCCGGGCCACAGAGCTGGATTCCTTGCAGTGAGGGAAGGGACCTGCTGAAAGGACAAAGGACACACTGCATCCACTTGTTAGTTTTACCGAGCGGTCACTCTGGTGATGGGGTACTCAGACCATGGCACCTGCTATTGCGGTTGAGCTGATTTGGACTCCTAGTGACTTCCGTGTGTCAATTGAACTGTGCTCGGGGGCTGGGTCTCGGGCTGGCTTCTGAGCAGTAGATTGCCAGGCCTTTCTCCTGAGGCACTCCTGGGTGGACTCCACCCACCAACCGTTTGGCTTGTAGCCAAGTGTGTTCACTATTGGCACCACCCAGGGACACACTTTGATTATTAAGAACTAAAAGTTTTTGTTGTGCTAAGTGGCCTATTAAGCTTTCCTGCATATATTTGACATATTTTGTCTGAAGAAACTTGGAGGGAGAGAGAAGAAAAGGTGAGGCTTCTAAACTAAAATCAGATGGCAGATGAACCTTACACAAACTGCTTTTTAAAAGTAATACACACCCACTGGCTGCTCTGAAAAGCCATCTTTGCATTGTGCCCGGGTTCCGCTCGCCGCAGCCACCTCTGCCGCCACAGACTCTGGCAGCTCGCGCTGTCTTTGTCGTCCGCTGTACTGGGTCACCAGTGAGCCCCACCATGTCAGACGCGGCTGTGGGCACCACCTCCGAGATCACCGCTAAGGACTTAAAGGAGAAGAAGGAGGTGGTGGATGGAGGAGGTGGAGAATGGGAGAGAAGCCCCCGCTAACGGGAGCACTAATGAGGAAAATGGGGAACAGGAGGCCAATAACGAGGTAGACGAAGAAGAGAAGGAAGAGGAGGAAGGTGATGGTGAAGAAGAGGAGGCTGAGGCAGCTACAGGCAGACGGGCAGCTGAAGATGAGGAGGATGACGCTGTGGACACCAAGAAGCAGAAGACCGACGAGGATGACTAGACAGCAAGAGGAGAAGGTCAACTTAAAACAATGAAACAAAAACTCAAAGGCCACCGTGCCCTAGTCACCCTCCACGTCCCGTCTCAGCATCTAAACGTGGTCACCTTCGCGGAAGAGTCCCGCCTCGGGCTGCGCCACTGCAGACACGCGCTCACCACCACTCACCAAAACCACACCGTGAATTTGCAACAGGGGAGGCAAAAATAACCAAAACTTCCCAGGCCCTGCTTTTTTTCTTAAAAGTATTTTAAAAAGGAAAATTTGTATTTTTTATTTACATTTTATATTTTTGTACATATTGTTAGGGGTCAGCCATTTTTAATGATCTCGGATGACCAAACTAGCCTTTGGAGCGTTCTCTGTCCTACTTCTGACTTTACTTGTGGTGTGACCATGTTCATTATAATCTCAGAGGAGAAAAAAACCTTGTAAAAAAGCAATAAAAACAACACCAAAAAAAGAAAAAATACAATCTTATTCCGAGCATTCCAGTAACTGGTTTTGTGTATGTACTTAGCTGTACTATAAGTAGTTGGTTTGTATGAGATGGTTAACAAGGCCAAAGATAAAGGTTTCTTCTTTTTTCCTTTTTTTTTTTTTTGTCTATGAAATTGCTGTTTATTTATTTATTTTTGCCTGTTTGACGTGTGTGTGAAGCAATGTTGCACAACAATAAACCGGAATTTTATTTTGCTGAGTTCTAAAAAATAAAAAAAAAGTAATACACAGCTCGCATTTATTATAAGACTGCTTGTACACAGGACATGGAAGAATGACAGCCAACCCGTGGTTTTCTAGGTCAGGGCTTGGCACGCTTCAGTAAAGGTCCGGCAGTAAACACTTGCGGGTTTGCAGGGCGTGTGGTCTTTGTTGCAACACCCCGCTCTGCCGTATAGTGTGAAGAGAACCATAGCCAAGACGGAAACGAATGGCTAGGACCGCATTCCAGTGAAGTCTGATAAAAATAGGTAGTGGAGCCCACCTTTTCTGACTCACTGAGGAAGGCAGAGGACATTTTTAGTGTCAAAAGACCCGGTGGCTTCACTTGTGAACATTTACAGGTTTAAAAATAAATCATCCATTACAAGATTTTCTTTTTCTTCACAGGTGAACATTATACCGGTGATTGCCAAAGCAGATGCGATTTCTAAAAGTGAATTACAGAAGTTTAAGATCAAGCTTATGAGTGAACTGGTTAGCAATGGCGTCCAGATATACCAGTTCCCGACAGACGATGAAACTATTGCTAAAATCAATTCTTCAATGAATGTAAGCACCTGTGGGCTGTTAATTCTGTCTTACGTGTGAAAACAAAGATGGTGTGTTAAGTAACATCACTACTAATATATTTTCACGTGTATTTTCTGAAGAAGACCTCAAATAAGGTGGTCAATTACTATTTTAAATAATTATTTATTTAAATAAATATTTATTTAAATAAATAAATAAGGCCAGTGTAGAAAAATGTCAATGTTTTGAATTGAAAAAGTTGAAGAAGGATATATTTTTCAACCTATTTCCCGCGCAACCCCCCACCCCACCCCCTGCTCCCGTCTGTGACCCAAGTAAAGCGGTGCCTTTGTGAGACTGAGGGTTCTTTGTGGAACCGGCCTGCGTTGCCACAGGACGATGACTCTGCCTTCTTCAGCCATGTGGGAATCCTTAGAATCTGAGGGGTTGGGCTTTCTAATCTGGAATTCACGCTCACTCACCATTGTGTCATACATGCCTATGAAATATCCTCACAACTGTGAGTCTGATAGGGTTGAAAATGAGTAAGTTCTTGGTTTGACTTTCTTCTTTGGACTTAAATATCTGGTTCTATTGTCAGCATGAGGAACTTTGGAGTCCAGCTAAATGGGGCTCTTGGTTGTGGGCATGATTAGGCTCGTTGAGACTATTGACTCATTTGCAGAACAGGCTAATAATATCAAGTGCTGTAAAGATTAAGTGAGACAAACTATATTAAGAACCTGACGATGCCATTCCCAAAAATGTTCATTATATTTCTCCTTTTATGATTTTTTATATCCCCATTTTGTATATAAAGGTACTTGAACAAAGTGTCAAAAAAGCTGACTAATGGAAATAAAATTATTGTAATTCCTATGTGGTAAATTGTCTTTAGATCCACTTTTGTTTCATGTGCTCACCTGGAATAATTCTTCCAAGTGAAGCAGCTAAAGACTAAATAATGTCAGTTAGTAAATTACAAACAGTACACTGGACTTTCTTCCCCCATCTTCAGCTGCCCCGGAATCCAGCTTTTGCATCTTCCTGTTTCTGTAGCATTCTTCAAACTCTTAAATGTGTCTTTTTCACTCTTTTTGAGCCATCTAAGTAAAACCTTTCTGATTCAGGTTGAGTTGTACTTTCTTCTTCAACCTTTCCCTCATTCTTCCCACAGCGATCATTCGCTCCTTTACAGTTCTAAAGCATTTACTATCTTCAGCATTAATTTGGGACTTACATATTTTTTGAATCAGTATCATATACCTATAATTCAAAACCCCAAACCCATTGCTATCCAGTCCATCACGAGTCATAAAGACCCTGTATATGAATTTTCAAGGCTTGTCCATCTTTCCTGGAGTAGACAGCCTCTTCGTTCTCCTTAAGAGTGTCTGGTGAGTTTGAGTCCCCAGGAGCAGCCATTGCTATCCCACAGAGCCTCCAGGTCCCTGTCATCCACCTGCATGCGCATCAACTATAGGTATGCTCAGTGGAGCCCTGTTGCTGAGGTGGGTCACAGTTAGAAACCACCAGCCACTCCGCAGGAGAAAGATGAGGCTTTGTAATCCTGTGAAGAAACCGCAGGGGCCGCTCTGCTCAGCCTTTGGACTCACTGGCAGTGTGTGTTAAGACTTTAGCTGGGTGTGCTCTGGGTGGGGGTGGGGGTGTGATTTTTCTCAGCATTATCTTTGTCTTTTAGGGCAATAATATTATTAAGGGAGATGTGTACTAGAATTTGTTCCCTTTTTTGTACCCCTGGTAGCATGAGGCCTTACATTGGGCTCAATAAATAATTTTGAATGTTTTACAGGGTCTGAAATTGACTCTTGTAGAAAAATGAGCACATATTCACCAGCAGGTTTTAAAATAGGCATAAGAAATCACTTGATATAAGAATTTCATTAGCTACTGAAGCTTTCTCTTTGTTGTTGTTTTCATAATACTTTCTGATCTGGATATCATGTTATGTTGGAGGATGTGATTGATATGATTCTTTTCCAGGCACATTTGCCATTTGCTGTTGTGGGAAGCATGGATGAGGTCAAAGTCGGCAATAAGATGGTCAAAGCTCGTCAGTACCCATGGGGCGTTGTACAAGGTAAGTAAGGGGAATAGGAGCTGTCTAGTATGAATCTTAGAAACACTTATGTTGCTGCCTACTCTCAAGTTGGCATTTAATGCATTCCTGAGTGACACTTACTTCAAATTGTGACTGGTTCTCATAGGAGCTGTGTGTTATTTTACACCAAAGTCTGTAAAGGCCAGACAGAGCAGCTTGTTTTCCTGCACACCTATCATTCGGCAGGTGGGCAGTAGTGCAGGGCACTTGGAACATAATATGAGAGGAAAGAGTAGTGTTTAAAAGGCGCCCTGGTGACACAGCAGTTAAGTGTTCCACCGCCACTGAAGAGATTGGTAGTTCGGGCCCAGCTCACCTCTCCGTGGGAGAAGCGGCCCGATGACCTGCCCGTGTGCAGACACAGACAACCTTAGAGACCCTGCGGATGGGGCATTTTGCTCTTTTCTCCAGGGTTTCTAGGACTCCTCGACAGCATGCAACAACAACAAAGTACTTTTTAAACATGGTGTATAGACGGATTTTAAGGCAAAGTAAAGCCATCTTGTAAATGTATGCATATTTTTACTGAGCAACCATTTCCAAAACAAATTAGACAACTAAAAAATTAAAGTCACTTGATATTTCATTCTTTTATCTAGCATTATGAGTGAGTAGTTAATACTTGAGTACTAGTTCTCTGTGATGCTAACTAGTAAGAAAATGGATTATCCCTACCAATACTGGTTTCTAAGTGCTTTTAAAAAATGACAAGTTTTGTAATTTATGAAAAATAGTAATAATTTTTTAATGTATGAAAAATATGAAAGTAGTAATTATACCTAAAACCACTCATCACAGAGACACATTTGTTGTCTTATCACCGTAAACATGGAAGGACCATGTACGTTTCCCACTAATTTTTAGATTATTCAATTTATTTATTCACACAGGAATATACATGTAATATTCAATAAAAAGAATTTGAAAGCTTTATGTACAGATGGTACTCTGTAGTTTTAAATTGATGACTGAATTTTTAGGGAAATGATATCCTCTTTTTAAGTGCTATGTGAGCTATCTAGGCATAGGCTGGCTTTAAAGTAACAAGATACTAGTGAAATTGCAAATATCATATCTAATAAAATATATTTTCTTTTTCCCATTGCCCATTCAGTTTAATACTTTCCTGTCTGTTAGCTTTGTTTCTAATATGGCACATAAAATGCAAGAGTTTTTATCGTTGGTTAAAGAATCATAGCGAATACTCATGGCTCTTCCTCAGACAGATCATTTGGCTGTTTGCTATTTCAAATGTGTTTTCATTTATTGTGTGCCGGAAGTTAGACACCAGTGTTGCTGTTTTACTTATTTTCTCCCTTTCTGTCTAGTGGAAAATGAGAACCACTGTGACTTTATAAAGCTCCGGGAGATGCTCATTTGTACAAACATGGAAGATCTGCGAGAACAGACACACACCCGGCACTATGAACTTTACAGACGTTTCAAACTGGAGGAACTGGGCTTTAAAGACATGGGCACCGAGAACAAGCCTGCCAGGTCAGTCAGTGGTATTCCTCTTGGACAGGCAAGTCAGCAAAGTAGAGGTTAGAAAGAATGGTACCCTTTGGTGCATTCAGGGTGATGGAGAATGGGCTTCTTAGAAAGGTCTCAGAATCTGGACCTGGAGTAATCACTGGTAACCATCAGTTGTGTGTCTTGAATGTGGAAGGTTCTGCGTTAGCTGAAGGGAGAGAGAGAAGGGGATAACATACTGCAAGGGTGAAAACCTCATGATTTGGTTTCCTCCGTTACATGAAGCAGAGGAAAGTGCATTTCACTATTGCTGCAGAAGCTCCTTAGAGCGCAGTCCCGTTCCCAGGTGCTGCGGGGTTGATTGGACGCATGGGCGCTCACATGTTCTGAGCAAGCGGAGCTGTGCTTCCCGGGGTCTCCAGAGCTGTGACCTTCTGGAAGCAGACTGCCAGGCTGTTTTTCTAAGACACCCCAAGGGGATTTACGTGCTCTCAGAACAATTAGTATTAATTTATCTTCATCCTGATGAAAAGTTTTGGATTTCTTGAAACTTTGCAAAAATATTTTGTAAAGGCAAAATGAATGTACACCTGTAAACTAAACCTGTAGCCATTGCGTGGATTCCAACTCAACCATCCAGGAGGACAGAGTGAAACTACCCCGAGGGCCTCCGCGGTGTACTCTTTGTAGGGGCACTGTGAGTCAGAATCGACTTGATGGCAGTGAGGTCTTGTGTGTGTTGTGTTTTTGAATCTCTATAGAAGCCAACTGACTGCCGCATCTTTCGCTCCCCCACATAGTGGCTAGAGGCTTTGAACTGCTGACCTTTTGGTTAGCAGCCATGGCTTTGACATACCTGTAGGGGGACAGAAAGTAGATCTTATACTATCACAGTACAGTTCTAAGTTTGTGGAATCTGATGACCTTGCTCAGAGATTGGTGCGTTGAATGGTAAATTATAAACTTACTTTCTTAATGGTGCTACATTTCTGCCATTAAGTATTTTTAAAAAATCTAAAACATGGAATAATCCATCACATACTAAATCAAGTTTGATTTTTGATCTAGGATTCCAGAACAGTTTGAAGTTACTTGAGGTAGTTGGTGGGAAGCCTGGACCCTTATGTTGGACAGACATGGTTTTAAACTCTGTTGGAAGACTTTCGTGTTTCGTCCTGTGCATTTCGGTCTTCTCTGGCTAGTAACCCTTATTCAGAGTCAACAGGAAAGGGAAGACTTCAAAATCGATGCTGCTGCTGCAAAAACAAACTGGGAAAATTTAATGATACATGAGGTTAACTTTCCTCAATCTGTTGATTTAATTTCTTAGTGCAGGCTTCAACTTCTGATGAAATACATAAAAGACTGTGTATTTACCACTGAGATAGTTTATTGTGCCAGCCTGGCCGATAAACACAAGTGGGCTTAACTGAAGGGCAGAGAGATAAATGGCTCG